TCTCTCTCTCTCTCTCTCTCTCTCTCTCTCTCTCTCTCCCCCTCTCTCTGTTTCTCTCAACCGGTAGACACATCTGGCAGCAGAGAGCCGATAACGCCATCTGATGGATTTCGTGTCCCCTTGCCGTTTTCAGGTGATTAGCTACCTGCCGAAGGAATGGGGCGGTTCTTCGTCCACTCTCAAGCTCGACAACCGGTTGCATGCAGATGTCTTTCAACCGGGGCAATCATACTACATTTCCTGGTCTACCACCTTTGTCGGAAGAGTGACGGTGAGTTTGGTTCTTGGGGGGGGGCGTGAAGCACCCATTCCAAAGCAGGGTGTGGTATCCATCGTCTTCAAGAGGGTCGATCTACCTTGATCCCGTTTCGACGGAAATCAGTCACGGAGCCGTCGGTGCCACGTTTGATTCTGCTTGTGTGTTTGTCTATCCCAGCCAGGAAATAAAATACACCACAAGTCATTCACAATGGGGAAGATCTGTGCGTAAATACCAAATACTTCTCTTTGGGACGTGTTGACCATGTGTGTGTGTCGCCAACTCGGCGTCGGTTTCGGCTGGCCCGATTGCAACAGGTTCAGTTAAAGAGAGCAAACAGCTACCAGGAAGGGGAGGAGGGTGGACGCCCCACGCTCTTCGCACGCGGGGAAACGATCCCGAACACCGGAGGGTTCTGGTTCACCATTCCCTTTCGTTCGGAGTTGGTGCGTCCATGAAGGTCTTGAGTGAGGAATGAGGGCTGTTACGGTCGGCTGCTGGGGTCATCCATGCTATCGTTGGTCAATGCGTGGCAGGTCGAGAACACCGATAGGCCGAACTAGGAATGGCCATGATACAGGCGCTGTGAGGGAGGGGTATCTCTGTTTCACTTTTACCCCGACAAACCTTGTCGTTCTCGCGACAACACAGGATGGAACCCTTTTGGGATACATCGCTCCATCGACTTTCTCCAATCCCGACAAGGTCGCACTGCGTCCATAAGTACAACAGTTGTTCGATTTAAGAGTAGCTCCTTCCTCGTTATTCGAGATGGCCGGAACACGAACGAACGCCATGAATGTTTTTTGCTCGACTTGTCGACAGTCGATCAATGGAGGCTGCAGTGCCATCATGTCCGGATTGATCTGTTTCTAGAACCCACGGTAAATCTCCAGCAAACTCCCACCTACACTTGCAGTTTCGTTGGCCGCTGGGCTCTTCGGCGTGCTCTCCTCTCCTAGGTTATGCCAGCGACCTCTGCTTCTGTTCAATGAATGCAGCATTCAAACAGCGATTCGCGAAGGACTCGCTTCCGCACAAATAACTCACCTATCATCCCCCAAAGGTTTATTATGTGCGACATTCGTGAAGTTGCTGGTCGCAACACACATGCATAAGGATCTACTCGGGTCCCTTGGTAACCTTCCCCAAAGCGAGGGACTTTCTGGGTTTAAACATCTTTGTTGCATGCCGTTTCTTATCTTTTGGTCCCGTAAACAGGGGATTGATTGGTGCCCCGGCCGGCGGCTAAAGGGAGGAAACGGGAACGGCAACAGCAGCAAAAGTGGCATTAGCGTCACCGCCGATACCAACTCTTCGAGCGACGACGACGACGACGAGGACGACGACGACGACGACGACGACAACAACAGCTGCTGCTTCACACTTTCGGTTTCGGACGCGCGCGACGCGGCGGTTAGAGACGACAGCGACGTTTTCTGCATCGACAATGTCGGCGACTCATCGAGGGAGCAGAGGGACACAAAGCTGGAGATTGTCAAGTTCCCGACCGAGCAGTGGGAGCTGGGCAAGGATCTAGAGGTTCGTCGTTGCGTACATGTGGTCTAGGCGTGTTTCGATTAATGTTAGGGGAGGGCAGGCACCGCACGTTCTTGCGCAAATGGTTTGTGTGACGCTGGAAGATATTTGTCTAAAGGTTACCCCATCTTGTGCGGCGCAGAACGGCATTGAACAGGAGGGAAAGGACGCCTATGCTGTGGCCGCGGGTTGTGGACATGGCGAAATTGTATGGAGTTGTCCGTTTTTACCAGCTAGGAATGTCGTCCAGTGTCTCATCGTGAACAACCTTGTGTGTAGTATGCTACTAAGAACAAATGGTGGAGGATTTTCCGCTCGCATTCAGGATTCGGATATCTTCCAGCAAACATGTGGGAGAGCACCGGGAAACCAGCGCGGCGTCTGTTGACTGTTTTTCACACTGCCCGATTTGCCGAAGGCATCGCTCGCCGACTTTATAGTGACCCTAACCCAAGCTCCTGCCCCACACCCGTTGCTGAAGCTGGGCTTGGCGATAGGCCCAGCGGTCATTAGATGATCTCTGCACTCGACCCTCAGCCCCTCCACCGAAATATCTGCAGATGATGTTGTGTGACCTCAGGACCGTGGCGTGCGAATTTTCCCATTGGTCAGATTCGGTGGGCGTCCAAGCACCTACACTCTCGCATCGTCATCAACTTGCTGGGACCAGAGATAGAGCCAACTTTAAACGCCGAAGCCGAAGACGACGGCGATAACGAACCGGACTCCCAAGAAAGCAGCGCCGCTGAAAGCGACGAGGGCAGCAAGGATTTTAGCGCTGCTCACACCACAGTGCGTCGACGAGTGGAGCAGCTGGGGTCAGGGCTTCCGGCCACCGGCTCTCTGGTGGTGCCTATGTCACAGATGGTGGACGTGGCTCCTGGAGACGACTACGTGATCGAGGTGAAGGGCGAACGATTTGTGGCTGCGCTCAACGCCCACCCGCCACCCCAAGTGCTAGTGCTTGTCCACCGGGCGCCGAGGGTTGTCGCTCCGGTGTCGGGCATTGAGCCGCAATGGTGTCGTCGCATGCACCCCATGTTTCAATGCTCAGCAAAAACTGCATGTGCCTTATCTTTTATACAGGTGCGGGACGAATCCGGCAAAGCGAAAAGTGTTTCCCCGTCGTTTGAGATGATCGCACCTCCTAGCATCTCCATCTCCAACACCATCATCAACGCTACCGCCAACAAGGGGGACTCCAACCGGGTTGAATGGACCTTTACCGGCAAGCCCTTTCCGGTGAGCTGTCAACCATTTTTCTTTTGGCAAAACCCTTTTAGGCGAGGTGATGGCAACCACCCTGCACCCAGCAGCATTAAGGAAGAAAATCACAGACCGTGGCACGTGGTGATTCTGGACCATGAACACAACAGCACCAACACGTCGTCATTGGACTTGTCTTTCGTTTCAGGTTCGGTTGCAACTGTTCAGCGGATTCCCGATTCCCGTAACCACGAGTGGGACGACATGCGTCCCCTTCAAGACCACTGATAGATACAGCGGGAGAGAGGTGCAACAAACCGGCTGCGTGCAAGACCCAACTTCGCCGTACTACCAGCAGTGCGCCACCCAGATCGATCGAGACTCACGACCCAGGCAGACCGGACACTGCGCCAAACCTGCGCAATACATGAAGGCGAGCAAGCATGCAATATCCTCGCACTTTCACGTTTGAAGAGAATCATATTTCCATGCTCTGGTTTGGGACATGCGGTAACCATGCACGAACGTGAGAGCGAGGGATCAGTGGCGGCGCCAAGCGGTGAGGCGGGGTAGGAAACAAGTAGTCGATAATGTGTTTCCCTGCCATGATGCGAAAACTCCGTTTCATTGGTCCTATTGTGGTACCGTGGGAATCATTTTGCAGGTAGGTCAATCTGCACCAAGCTTCCGAAGCCAGTAGCCTATGACCTCATCGCCCACTACCAGCTTCTGACTGTGAAACGCGGACGAAATCGCTCCGTGTTTCGCTCCGTATCTTGCCAAACACAAACGGCAGGTCGTGTGGCAATCTGACGAAATTCAGGTTTTGAAACAAGCGGCGGACGTGACAATACCGCGAGACGAGTTCGAACTACCTACTGTGGGTCCATCCTACTTCTGGAAGGCAAGGGCCGTCCCACCCTATCATCTGTCGGAATCACCAACGAGATCTAACTGCGCTTGTTTGATTTGACGCCTTCACCACGACAGCGTGAATAGTCTTTAGTGCCGACCCCCCATAGGGATTTCGTTCCCAGGGCCTCGGGTGTTTTAACCGATGGTGTTGCTATCTCCATGGTGTTTCAAGCCTTTTGTGGGGGTGGTATTTAGTCACGTAGGCTGTTTGCAAGCGCTCAGCCGGTATCCCGGAGATGGCACTGGTGTAAAGTCTGTTTGGTGCGGGTGGTTCTTCGGCCATCGCGGTTCACCGTTGTGATGGCCTGAGAATTGTAGCTAAATAACTCACATTAAGTACCGGCCGAGAATGCTTGCTCGCCCGAGGCCTTCCCTGCGGTACACCAGACGCCCATCGATCACCCAGAGCGATCGCGAGAAGTCCATTGAAGATACCTTTACTTCTCCCTCCGCCCTCTCTGCCCCTCCCCTCGGCCGTTCTTGCCCCTCGTTCCGAACCTTTTCATTCCTTGCTCGCCTGGCTACACCAATCGACGCTCGCTCCCGAATTTCAATCGAACCAAGGTGACCTCTACGTTAAACCCACAAGTGCACAGCGAAAGCGAGACGTTCTCCCTGGGCTACCCAAGCACCCTGCTCTCTTTCCGAACGAAGGGATTGTCGCCAGGAGATATTGTGGCGAACAATACCGAGGTAAGATTGGTAGAGATAACATTTCGTTCCCCCTTACGGCTCGGTGGAGGTGCGAAGTGGACAGGGAGTGGGTGTAGCGCCGGCGATAACGTTCATCATGCTGAACGAAACGTTTGCGCTCGTGGCTTTACGTCGTCGGAGAAGAACATGACACCGATCCTTGTCTTAGAAATGATCTCACCTCGAATCGTTTCGCTTCAAATGAAGGCCCTGGTAGGAGCACTGGAAAGCTCGCTGCTACTCGAAAAAGGAAGGCTGGAGCTGTTGCTCTTCAACGGTAGCGCGTACGAGAAGTACAACAGCAGCAACGAGCACGCGTCGATACCAGACTATGGCTACGACAAAGGCGGCGGCGAAAGCTATGAAAATAGCAACAATTACGAGCCTGTCATAAGTTACGACACTGGCGACGACGACGACGACGACGACCATGATGGCAATGATGATAGCAACGACAACAAACACGCGTCGATACCAGACTATGACTACGACAATGGCGGCGGCGAAAGCTATGAACATAGCAGCGACTACGAGCCTGTCATAAGCTACGACAGTGGCGACGACAACGACGACGATTGGTCCGCTTCGGAAGATGTCGATGCCGATCCCCCCCACGGAAGCCACCAACGCCGACGGTTGGCGCTACTACGAGCAGACGCCGTGCACGTCAGAACGCACACACCAGCGGCGGGCGACGAACAGCAGCGCAGGGACCGTTGGCAGCTACGAAGCGCGTCAATCCATGCGCCGAACAATGGTGAAAGAAAGCTGTCTGCAACGCAACAACAGAGTGACGATTCTGAAGCGGAGGAGCTAGACGACCAAGACGACAACGAGGAGGAGGAGGAGGAGGAGGAGGAGGAAGAAAACGACGTCGTCGTTGTCGGCGACACCCGATCGCCGATGTCCTCCGTCGGAGGTGCGGGAGTGCGAGAGGAAGACCTGAAGCATGGATCAGAACCAGTGGTAGGTGCTGAGGATGACCCGCCAGCTCTAGAGCAAGATGGAGCAGCAGCCGAAGCAGGAGGAGCGAGTACTGATACGCCTCCCCTGGAAATTACCTTCAAGGTGAATTGTGCTCATTTGCTCTTTATACTATAGCACTGCACAAGAACACGTCACAATAAAATAATAGCGAAGGACAACGGCGGAGTGCGAAACTTTTCGGTAGAAGTTAGAACGGCTATAATGCCGAATGAATGCCCCCCTGTTCGGTCTTCCACGCCGTGGTGCAATCGGAACAAGCACGGTGGGAGCCAAAACCAACGCTTGAAGAAAGCGGTGACGACTGTAGACTACGTGTGTTGTAGACTGCGCTTTTTGCGTTTTCTCCCTGATACTTTCCGTCTACCCGCCTACACCCAATTCGAAGAACTTTCGCCTGTGCTGGTCAAGCGTGATTCAGTCTTCACATAGTGTTGATATTCACGACATTTGTTCGATTCTAGATCCAACTGGCCACCCAGTCGTGGTCGCAGTTCCTTCACACTGAGATGCTGTTGGAAAACAAGAGTCTTCTTCTATCGCCGAAAGAGTAAAGCAGAATGTAGCGAATGCTTAGGACGCTGGTTTATCTTGGCAAGAGTCGCGTGTTAGCGCCATGAGAGTGGAGCAAAGTGCGGCGGATGCTTAGGAAACTGGTTGGTCTTGACGTGCGTAAGAATCACCTAATCATCCCATCCTCCAACACCTCGCCTGCGTGCTCCATGGTTTGTCCAGATGGCACCGGCAGCAACCGCGTGGCAAGAGCGGTCTCCGAGAGAGAACATGAACCTGCTTGGGTTCTTGTGCGAAAGTGACCTTTTAAGCGAGGAACTCGGTAAGGTGAGAGCTTCTCATGACCGGGAGAAGATGTCTTTTACCCTACAATGCATGTTGACACGTAATGTGTTACACTGTCTTCATGTGGTGAAAAGCAATGCCATTTGCCTCCGTGTAGAGGATTTGATTGGGTTTGCGTCTCACAAATGCAGCTGTCCATGCAGAAGGGCGTTGCTTCAAAATATCACCTAATTTTCGCAGTTTGTTTTGAGATCGATCGAGTTTCGACCAATGGATTATGAGGGGTGGCCGCGAAAACCTACTCCAACCGGACTGCAAACAGTAACGATGATGCCGTTACGCATTAAAGCGAGAATAAGCTTCTTGTTTGGCGCTGGCTGGCGGAGTCGCTAAGTGGGTCAACGCTTCCTCTATGGCACAAGCTACGCGCGTCTACATTCAAACGAGGCCGACTACTTCGTGTACTGTTGCACTGCTCTCATCAGAGTCCAATTCTTGGCGTTTCTGTCAATGTGTCAATCGTCTCTCTTTATACCATCGAAGGTGGAATGCGAAAGCATCACTGTGAGAGACGAGTTCTCAAGTGGCGAACAACAAGAAGAGCACTACGAAAGGTGGGTCGACAACATATGGCCTGTCTCATAACAATGTTTTCTCCAAACCGCCCACCACGCGTTGTTTGTAGTTGACAATCAACGATGGGTTGTTTTCTGTAAAAGGTGCTCTAGTCATTGCCGAGGAGAGTCGCTCTTGAGCACACATCTCGACGATAAACTGAAACGCACTACTGCCCGTACCCCGAGGATAGGACATCTGCAGCCAATCGTGCTACAGTACCGCTTTTGCAACCTGCCCACCCCGCGTATGCACGCTTTTCCCGCTACGTCGCTTGGTCATCGTACGACACGTCTACACCTTTTCTCAATACAGCATGTATAGTCTATGGCTTGCGTCCGACAACACAGCTACGGAAACACAACCAGATGCACACCAAACTTCCAGCATTCGACATACAGACCCACAACACACAAAATGTACCCCTGGCGCCACCCTTTGTCACATACATCTATCTCATGTGTCCGTTCCTCCTAATTGTGCCACCATCGGCACTGCAGCATTCTCGGTCGGGATCGCTCTGACAACCAGGGTTTCCTAGACGGAGGCAGGTCCTACAAGGTTGCCGCCATCGCTTCAGTCATGGTCGCACTACTTCTTGGTGGCGCGGTTGTCATCAGGTAGGACCCCAAGCTTGCCCTGTGACAGAGACGGTGGGGGAAGGGGACGAGAGTGCCCCCCTCTTGATGGCATCTACCCCAGCATGGTCGCAGGACCACACAAATTCCCTCGTCCCACGATTCACTCTACCGCGCGGATGATAGCGGTACAGCCTGCGAGGGCGTCGGCTGGCACGCCGAAAACGCGCGCTACCACCCTCCTAGCGCAGGCATGCACAACTTGTCTAATGGCATCGTCACTCTCCTAATCCGCAGGAAGAAGAGGCGTACGCATCGTCAAAGGAACTATTTTTCGCGGAAAAGCAAAACCAACAAGCCAGGCGTGAGGTGAGAGAGGAGCGGCGATTGCTCTCTGGTGGGTGTCGCCCTTGTTTGTATCCCCCATCCCTCTCTTGCACTGTCTTGTTGTGGAGGAGTAAACAGCAAAGCCACCCACACGATTTCGCTGTGTTTGACAGAGACCAGGATCGTAGCGTCGATGGATGGATATTCTCCTTGAAAAACACCTGGGTATAGAGGTCGTCTCAACATGTTTCCACGCATTGAGCTCCTTCAGAAGCAACCTGGGCAGAATATCATGGGTATGAATGAAGCATTGGATATCCAAGGTTCAGTAACCTGGAAGATATGGTACGTCGCGTAGGACACATAACAACTACCCGGGATTGACCCTTCACAACATCAGTCTTGTCCGGATATGTTTCCCGCCCGCAAACTTCACGAACAACCTCGCCAGGACTTTCCAACACCTTTTCGGCTGCAGAAGATTCGAAATTGAAAGACAAATCAAGTAGAGTAGTATCCTTAAAACGTAAGCTACATAGTTGGAACCGGAGGCTATCGAAACGGGCGGCCCGAAAACGACAACGCCTAGCAATACTCCCACAGCTACTTCCTCTCGTTCCGAACACTCCCAACGTCTACCGAAGGTACTACCGAAAGGTCCTCCACGTGGACAACGATGACGTCTTGTCCATCGAAGGCGAAGATTCATACGGCCAGGTGACTCTTCTATAGCATTTCATCGGGCAGCCACCGGTAGAGTTTGGGGGGTGGCGACAGCACCTCTTGTTGGAGGGTGTTATGACAAACAGGGAAATAAAGACCTGGGGTCGAGCTGAGATACGGCCAAGTTCTGGGAGGTTGGAGGCAGTAAACAATCGGCGGGAAGAACCCAAGCGTCTCAAGTGTTTCAATGTTGAACGGGACTCACGAAAGTCGATAAATTCGACGAGTATCTGGTGTGTGTGTACATGCAGACCATGTTTTCTAATCACAGTCGTGTTGAGAACGCACGATCGCCTTTAAAAACGTGCCGATGCTAGCTGGTCCTCCCCATTTTGTCGGCGACCTGTTGCATGGTCTCATGGATGTATTGCGGCGTCGAAACGGCAAGCCCTCAATCAAGCACAGCGCTGTTGGTTGATCGATCGATGAGTCAATCAGATTGTTGTCCTGTCCATGCTAGTCCTTCGCTCATACAAATGGACAACGATGAATGAGTGACACACGAGATTCATGATCGATTCGGTATTCAAGTCGATAGGCTGATTACAAATGTCACACACGTTCCTACCGCACGTCCGTTCCTTGTACGCCAGGTTCATAGCCCCGGTAGCTTCGCGGGAGGTTTCACCAGCGACGATGACCGTGGCTTCGGCCGGGACGCCCCACGCCGCCCAAGCGGAGGGTTCCGAGATGCAGCTTCCAACATCGTCGCCAGGGTCTTGAGCGGTACGTCGTTGTTGTTTCCTCCTTCGCCTCATATTGCTCTCTTCACGCATGGTTGTATCGATAATATCGGGTATTTCCGGAAAACTGGTTTGTTCCCCTCAAACATCGGAGGAAAGACGGCAGTCCTCGGATAAGGATGTCCATGACAACAAGGAGAACGAGAACAGCAACAACAACAATAACAACAGCAACAGCAATAACAAAATAATAGAGGAGCGACACCACCGACAGAGTAGCAAGCACACCATATCTGATCCAAGCTCTCTCCTGCTCCATGACGCAGACCCTTTTCTTGGTCAACCTTGAGTATGGGCCTCAATGTTTCTCCGCCTTTTCCGCCCAACAGAATCCCAACCCCTCACCGATACCGTAGCCTCAACCTCGTCCCCAATTCTCGATCGCCCCTCGTACCTCAGGCGGCGCCAATCAACGCCTCGTCTCACCAACCCAGGTCTAGCACAGCCGACATGTTCTGGGGCGGTCGGTGATGTCCGCGAGCAAGGGAAAGATGCAATTTCATGTCATCAGTCGTGCGGCGGCTTTGGCTGTGTGCATGTGCACACATTTTCGCTGGGGCTAGTCAGTGCTACTTGGGATACCAGCATTTACAGTTGTTTTGCATACTCATCTACGGTATTTCAGGTCTTTTCACGACCGAGGGTGAGGGGTGTGGAAGGTCTTGCACGCCAGAAACACGCGGCAGGGGGCATCGCACGAAGTACATTAGACGGCTTTCCCCGATATACTACCACGGGCGGGGGGGGTGGATGGGGGGCATAAGGTAAACAAGACGAGCGTTGATTTCTCAACCTCTCCTGTAATTATCACAATTCATTAGGTAGTTGTGGTCATATACGTGAGCATCGTTCTGGTATTGATTGTGTTTTGTTGCTGGTTTTGTTGGAAGTCGCCCATAGTCAATTCGTTGGGTGGCAGATATCGAACGGGAAGGAGAGGTGGTATCAGAAAGAATGCTGCCTTCATACAGCCTTCATAAAGACGCCCACATGACTGCAGTCGTCTAGGAGATGAGGTGGTCTGCACAAGGGTTCGAGAGTGTATTATGAACATATTTTTGTAATCGGAATTATCCAAGGTCTTTTGTTTCGTGTCGATGAAAATACAACCAACCATCCCGAACGACATATTTCGCTAGAATAGACATTGAAGGGGAAGGGTCGATGGAGCACTGGAACAGTAGGGGGGTGGGGAAACGCGTGTTTTGCATCTCTTCGTGCAACGTAATCGAAAAAGCGCTGCTCTGGGGTTCGTGATGCAGTTTTGATGTATCGACTACTCGTTGAACTTGAGTCCACGTCGCCCTGACTCTCAAAATGATTATGATTTCACAATACGCCAGCTTATTTCCGAAAAACATGCCCCGCTCATGCAGGGCGGCCTCCAATCCCAGGTCCGTTTTCCTTTGAACGTGCGTGCGTGCGTGGGTGGTTGCGACGAACGAAGTGTTCTCGAAATCAAGTGGCACAAGACTGGTGTAGCGCGAACAGTCGGCGCGCGACTTTTTGCCGAGACTCTTAAGAAGTGGTCATGGTCATCCCCATCGTGGTTCTCAATCAACACTTTGGCACAAACACCTTCATGACTTGTTGTCTGCAGCGTCGGCTTTTTCAATACGCCAGCTTGTTTCCTATCTGCCAGCTCCACAGCGAACAAAGGCGGGTTTTACTTCCAATGAACAGGATTACGTCCCTGAAGAAAAACAGGTAGCGACGAATGCTGAATTACTATTGTTTTTCGTCACATTAAACTCGTGTCAGTTGCTAATCCCAAAATCTAGCAAAGACTCGGTCCGTGGTCACAAAAATGCTAGAGCCATCAGAAGATCTGAAGAACGCACACATAGCAAGAAAAGGGTACGCAAGTCCGAGGAGGTACACCTGCAATCCCTGCAGCACGTTTGCATGCTCACAACTGAACTACACGCCCACACACTTCAAATCGACTACAGCAGCAGCATCACCCCCCTTGTCCCGCATTTAACCAAAATGAATGTTGTCGACTACAGCGTACTGCTGTCTGAAGTGCTGTCTGTACAATAATAACACCATGGTGCATGGTACACAAGCTCGGGGCATGCAGCTGCTGTCTGAAGTGCTGTCAGAATGAGTCCGTGGACAAACAATGAAGAAGAACACCCAATCAAAGCCATCATTGCAATTGACAATCACCCGTAACTGTCCAGATCATCTGTGTTAGGCACAGCAGTGAAAACATCGACACTGACTAGGAATCGTTCCACATTTAAGGGGTCTTCCACGATGCAGGTACACAATTGAAGGGAAGGGAATAGTGATCCTCACACATGAAGCGAGTGCTTCTCGGCCTTCCCCTCTGTGTCAAAGGGCCGCTTTCTTAGGGTTTGTCACACGGTTTGTAATTGCAATTATTCTTGGTTCCTTGCAAGAGACACCCCGTCTTGCACTTAGCCCTTGCACACGAAACTACGAGGGACGCCGCCGCACGTTGAACGCACGATTAACTACGCGTAGACTAAACCATGCACTCGGCGCGCAATTCTTTGCCAGAATCAAGCACCCTCGGCTCTCCCTCTTCCAGCATGAGCCGTTCAAATGTTTGCTAAAACTAAAACCTACTCCAAGCCACTTGACACAAAGTTTTCTCGGACAAACTATGCAGCGGCGGTACGGCAGTAGTCTCTCCTCTCGCACCCCGGTGCTCTTCGAAAGATACAAAAATCCGCTTGTAGGGTGCAGACAGTTGTTCCTACGGGCGCTCATGTTCTCTAGAATACGATTAAGATCATCACTAAAAATAATAGGTCAATAGCGTCGCGGCACCAGCGCGGCCAATAAATAACAAGTCAATACCGTCGCGGAACCAGCGCCACCGTGCAAGGAAAACAGCATAATGTCTCTCGGTAAACTACGACCTCAACTCGGAACGCCATCAGGAACGAAAAAAGTGGGTGTGTGACCTCTCTCACCCACACTAGCCACCAAACACATGTATACTACTTCCTACCAAAAATCAACTAGGCCCGACCCAAATCGCCTCTCCTGCCCTCCAGTCAAAAACGTAAAAAAAAAAAATGTACTCGATTTTCGTTGGGACCTATAGCCTTGAAATGGTTACCACAACCCTCTCTTACCTCTCTGTCAACGACACACTTCACCACACGACCACCTTCCCTTCCCCGCGCGCCTCTTCAACCTCGTACCCGAACCTCAAGTCCGGGTGCACTCTCGCAGCGACAGGCCCACTAGACGACACTCACCATAAATAATGTTTACTGAAACGGTGCGCTTATTACCACGCATCGGTCACCGATACACGGACCGAACACTAGCATACGATACCAAGTTTGAAGCCAGGGCGACAAACCTCGCAGCCACAACCACACAAACAGGCTAGTTGCGCGGGGAGTGCCCCATGGGCGTACCCGCTTGATACCAAACTCATGTTATTTCCACCTCCAACTAGCAACACATTTACGACCACCACCGTATTCCCAAACACAAGTGATACCCCACCCCAGAGCATCGTCAAAAGCTCATTCTTTAGGTTGTTTCCTTCAAACATGCCGCCTGACTCTTGAGACGCAAACGCGACCGTCCACCAACCAAGCCTGCAGACCCACCGCCCTCCACGACTACTCCCCCCGACAAAAAACATCCCAGTACGCGTACTTCCTTCCCGGCAGTACCCCACTATCAAACACGCAGGTGCGTGCTGCTACAACCATCGTAAAACCGCTCCAACCTCCGCCAACCAGATTATCCGGTTCTACTACACTGGGAACCCCCAGACTTACCTGCGGCCCCGCTCTCGACACCAATGAGAATCACTCCACGACATACAAGGGTGTGTGGCCATCCATCTATAATAAGCCACAAAACGAACCTTACCACTGCTCCCCTTACCCCTAGCCATGTTGCCCATGTAGTAAGCAAAGATTTCCTTCATCACGATTGTTTGAGAAGGCTGGATAGGATGGCTGTAGAGGCAAAGGAAAGTAAACGGGGAACATGTGGCCCAAAAGCGAAGAGCGGGGTCTCGCAAACGCAGGGAAAAGCGGATACAAGCAAGGTAAGACAATCATCCCTTGAATAGGACACAGACAGACACGACAAACAACGGGAGACAGGCACACCTCAAGGGGAGAATACACGAGGTCAACCCACACAAGGAGAGATAACGCCGCTTTGCTATCTCGCTCTTTCTGTCCAATCCCAACAAAACGGCAAGAAGAAAAAAAGCGACACTCCTTCCTACCACGTCCTTATAACAAAGAACAAGATAGAGAACTCTGCGCTCCACAAACACGTGCGCAATTGGACCAAGAGGGGCCACTGGGCCACTCACCATGATGATGCATGCCATTGTGAATCCAAACAGTCACAAGTCCCCAACTGAAGCAGAAAACACACACGACACAAAATGGCTACTTTCGATATACTACGCGGCGCCAGCACACGACACAGCGACAGCAAGAAGCCATACAACCAAGCATGGAAACAACCTAGCGACGAGCCTTTCACGTACATCCCAGTGACAGAAAACTCTAACAAGCAGTCTAGTTTGACAGGCAGACACGGAAAAATGAAACGAACAACATGTCCACTCCTCTCCTTTTGAAAAGGATGGGCGGATACACAGCAGTGGCCAGACAAACACAGAAAAACAAAGCCATAAAAGTACGAAAAATCGAGTAGGCAAGATGACCCTGATAAAATTAACACAAAGGGCGCGGAATAGAACAACAGGTACAAGCAATACATAATGGAAACGTCTTCACTCCCGTCTAGAAACCAAGATGGCCAGTACTGTCATCGGCATCGTACGACCCAGGAGGAGGGCATGGATCCCCCGCTTCCCCAATGTCGTCCAACGCACAATCCTCGAAACCGAAAACATCCAAACACGGGAGCTCCCGCTCACCCTCCTCCGCTCCCTCTTCATCGTCCCAGTAGTGCTCGTCATCGCCCCCGCCACCATCAAGAACAGGCCCTTCGCCTTCGGCGGACACCGCCGCGGCCGCCGTTGTCGTTTCCACCGCGTACCTAGCCAACACTTGATCTTCTTCCGCCGTCGGCAGAGGGCCTTCCCGGGCCAGCATCATCATGCCGTTGCTTCCGCAGTCGTCGCCATCACCATCGTCGTCGCTGCATTTGACAACGACGCAAGGAGCCCTGCGGGAGGACACGGGCTGCGAGAGGCCACCCCCACCATCGTCCCCCCGGGCGCACGACAGGGAGCGACACGCCGACCCGTCCTCCACGGGAAGCGGCACGCACCCAGAGAGGTTCTTGCTGTAGCCCCTCCCTAGCACGATCCTCTCCATGCGCGGCGGCCACCCTGCCGCGCCGGCGGCCGCCAGCGGCTGCTGGAAGCGGTCCCCGAAGTGGACGGTCGTCAGGCCGGCGGGCCACTTCACCGCGTGGATCGGCTGGTTGAAGTCGCCGAGGAGGGCGAGGTGCGTCAAGGAGCCGGGCCAGGCCACGTCCTCGACCCTCTGCTGCAGCTCCCCGCAGAAGTCCAGCCTCGACAGGAGGGGCGGCCACCGAACGTTCGAGATCTCCCTGTTGAAGCTGCGGGGGAAAAGGACGGCGAGGGCGAGAGGAAGTGCGAAGGTCAGGGATGTGGCCCAAACCAGAAGCGCCAAAACTGCCCGGGGAGCTTTTTAACAGGCGCTACGGCATGCCGTGGAAGACACTACCTGCTGACCCCCTCTACTCTGCCGTGTCCGCAAAAAACCTCCATCCCCAAAAACTGCACGATCGCCGCGAATTCTGTCATATGCAATACGCTTGCTTGAAACAAATCAAGGCGACCGACATTACTCGGCAACGCCCGCACCCCAAAAAACAAAACAAAACACCATAGCCTCGCACTCACCCCTGTCCGAACCGCAGCTCCCGCAACTCCTCCGGCAAATCCACGGCGGACACCGAAAAGTTGAACCGCCCGCCGAAGTCCAGGCGGCGGAGGCCGGCGGGGAGGTCCATGCCAGAGGCCGGCTGGTTGAAGTCGTTCCCGAACACAAGCTCGCGCAGCGCCGCCGGCCAGCGGACCCTGCTGACCGGCTGGTTGAACCTGTCCCCGAACCTAATCACCTCCAGGTCGGCGGGGAGGTCGACGCCCTCCACCGGGCTGTTGAACCGGTCCCCGAACTCCAGGCACCTCATCGTTGACGGCCACGAAGCCGCGGTTACGGCGATGTCGCTCTCGACCTTGACGCGGGTAATGCGCCGCCGCGGCTCCAGCCTGGCGCCCGCCGCCTGGGTGCCGCATCCGACCTGGCCGCCGTCCTTCCCACCGCCGCGCTCGCCTCGCTTCCGCAGCGCGAGGGCGCTCGACCCCGGCCAGATGTGGTTAGCCAGGCGCGCCGGCATCAGCTCCCCGCTGTGTTCCTCTTCCTCCGCCATGACCCGCGCTACGGTGAGCGACCACGAGGCCAGCGCGCGGCAGGCGTTGCTGAGATCGAGGGACAGCTCTTGGACGACCGCCGCGCCCCCGCCCGGCACGAAACCCGAGAGGGCCACGCAGGTCAGGGCCTTGGTCGTCTTCGCCTTAGGATTAACGTCGTCGTCGCCGCCACCGCCGCCGGGGACACTCACCGCCGCCTCTGCCGCCGGGTGCTGACGTTGTCGTCGGCGGTGGTCTTGCCGGCGAGCTCTTGGCACCAGTACTGCCGCCGCCGTCGACTTCGCACCAGAATCTGGACGACGAGGCGGGGTAAGAGGAGGGCGAAAAGCGGACGGGGAGCCAGACGAAAGGCAAGAGCAGCCCGGAACGGATTGCCCCTCTGCTTCTCCTTCGGACCCGCCTTCGCACGAGCTCGCCGAAGTGGACGAGGTCGCGAAAGTGGTGGAAGCGGTGTTGGTGGTCGCGGTGGACTTCAAGCTGATTCGCCGAAGACTGCGCGACGCCATGAGGTGTACGATTTTCCTGTTTTATTTGGCGGCAGCAATGACAACGCAAAACAGAGGGAAAAAATTGGGGTTCAGCAACCTGCGCAGTTGGGTTGCTCGCTGAGCCCTCTCGCTTCGAAACCACGAACTTGCACGCTGTGCCGACCTACCTATTGTTTAGTCGTGTGCTATTATAGCACCAGCACGCAGCAAAAATCGTACGGAGCAAGGTGCCCTGAAAAAATATATTACGCCCGCGCCCTCACCCTCCCGGAGGACCCGATCACAAATTCGTGTCCAACTTAAATTCAAATACCAATCTGGAACAACCGAAGGCACTGCTTCTCTTCTTTTTTCATTCTCCATCAATGCTTGACTCACTGAGCAGCAGCAGCAACAACAGCAGCAGCACGTGTGGCTACTGCTGCTGCTGCATCTTTCGTTTCATTAAGCACAGGGAGCAGTGGCGGCTAAACAAAGCGGCTATAGTCTGTTATTGTTCGGGCGGGTCGGGGGACGAGGCACGAAGGTGGCGTCCCATCGCCCCCTTACATGTAGGCGATAAACATATATCAGGCAGGAACCGCAGGAAAGGGTCCGACCCCCCCCTCCTATGTGACCCCGGTTGGGTCGTCTAGCTGGTAGAAGTGGAGGATTGGGGCCAGAGGGGCAGACGACAGAGTCGAATGACGGGAGAAAAGGAGGGGGGGTGTACTCATGTTTGCAAGCCTAGACCATTGAGAACGCGTCTCGAGAGAGGACGGAGCAAGGGAAGGGGGTGGCGAGGGTGGCTGGGTAACCCACCACCCTGTTGGGCAGGTTCACGTATCGAATGAACGTATGCATAAGGGGGGGGCAACAATAAAGGAACCCACGAGAAAGCCACGTTGTTCGTGGTACATGGTGAAAGTTGGAGTTCATGTTCATTATCAACGGTTCAGTCTCCAGGATAAGATCATGATACACTGCAGTAGTAGGTCAAGTCACGCACGATTTGGAGGGAATTCTCCCGGACGACGAAGCTTGTTGTACATAGGCATTTGGCAGACACGGGTCGCGGTCGTGTAGTCGCCAGAGTTTAGGAGACATCGCTACGTATGTAGACTGGGGGTACGCGAACGGTATCACTTCGAAGTAAATGTTCAATATAGCCAGCAGGCTCAGCGCGGCGCACCGTCGCGGAGCGCACGGCAGCACCAAAAAGCAAAGACCCAAGACTGCTACTGCTGTACCTACACTTCCGCGAGAAGGGAATCAAAGAAAGGGAACATGCCTACAGAACAATTTGTCACAGCTGATGCGCGTGTAGCCACTATTACACACATTGGAGGTGTACACACCACCATCGAAAAAAAGGACCGGTCAGAAATGCTCCACAGATACCTACATAACTCAGCGGGCAATGATTGGATTGCAATCCTTCTAAAAGGACCATCAACGAGCAAGGAGAGGCTGCGAGTATCTTCCCACGAGGAACTGTCGGTTGAGAAGTGTGCAGGGAGGGACAGGTCGACACTATGCAACAGAGGACGCCTGCTACTGCTGTTCCACTGCTGTAAACAAGGTAATATGCGTATTAGAAAATGAGTGTAAGCATGTGCATACGACAAGGCCTACAGCAGCAGATTACGAGGTCCGTGTCCGTATGACCGTTCTTTACCCCAGGCGCAGGGGCATGACCAATTGAAACAAACGAACTCAACCCCCTCCCCCCCGCGCGCTTGTATCCCTTGACCCCTCACGCTTCCTTCTCTGGTCTCGTACCTCTGCTGGTGGCCCTCCTCCCGCGTGTCCCATTCCCACGTATGCATAGCTCCATTTTCGACCAAGCCCAAACTCGCGCGATCGGCATAGAGCGGGCCAACATCCGCGCCCAATTCAGCGCATTGTGTAGAGGGGGAAGCGCTTGCCGGCGGTGCTTCTCCGGCCATGGCAGGCGGCATGAGCGGGAACCACGCGCTCTCTACCACCGCGCATTCTTCTTCCGCAGGGAGCATCGGCGCCGGAGGGGTTGAGCTCTCGCCATCGCCACCGCCATTAGCCCTGCTGGTGTCGTTCTGAGAGGTGTGCAGGTGCAACCTTTGCTGGTTAAGCTGTTGCAGGTGGTAGGCTTGAACTTCGAACGGCAGCATGTGGAACGGGAGCTTCGACCGGGCCTCCCACGCGGACATGGAACCTCTGCCGCTGGCGTTGTCGCTCGAACCGCCACTGCCGCTGCTGCTGATGCTGCCGCTGCTGCTGCTGCTGCTTTGGGAGCTGCAGCTCCGTGTGCGGTCATTGCGGTTAGTTGATGCTGGCGCTCCTCCGTCACTCTCACGATGTGCCACTGCTGCTGAAGCTGTTGTTACGGATTCATAACTGCCTCCGCTCTTGTCGCCTGATGTTCTCCCTGCGAAGCTGCCGAGAATCATGGGCGGTTCCGTACGGGCAGGTAGCGGTCGGCCAAAAGGGAGTGGCTCTGCTGTCGAGAATTGGTGTCGCTGCTGCTGCTGTTGCTGCTGTTGCTGTTGCTGCTGCTGCTGCTGCTGTTCTTTGATTGCTGAATTCCGAGCTACTTGCTGTTTTTTTGTGTGTTTCTGGTCCTTCCCCGGCGTTTGGGCGTGCTGCTGCCCCCGTCCGGGCTGCCGTGGTTGCCCACCCAGGTAACCTTTGGTAGTTTGCTGCGCCATGGAACTGCCGTGCAGGGAACTGCCGCTCTGACTGTGCACGCGAGGTCACACGACAACAATGATGGCTGCCAGCCACCCACTGCTGTTCCACGTGCTACCAGCCCAAAAAAACAGAGGAATATTTTGAATCTTCGAAGTTCGAAGCCGGCACGGTGTCATTACATCTGTCATCTGTCATCACAGCCGTCGTCGCACGATCGATGTTGTTGTTGTTGTTGACTTCACATTAAACCGTATGCCAGTTGCTAAATGCCAAAATCTAGCAAAGACTCTCGGCCCGTGGTCACGAAAGTGCT